TCGTTCGACGAGTTGCCCTATGACGAATTGGCCTATTCGACAAATGGGCCCCCGACGAGTTGGCCGTCGACGAGTTGGCTTTCGACGAATTGGCCCAGACCCGTGGGTGTGTGTGTGTGGGGGGGGGGGGGGGGGGGGGGGGGGGAGGCGTAGGGGGTTCTAGATCTCGTTAAGCTTGAGCAAGGGTTGTCGCTCAAAGTTTCCGTCGCTCATTTTATTATTCACATGTGGATGAGTTCGCATGTTATACAAAAGAGTAGCAGCTCCAGGATTTGGTACGGATCATGTGTAGTATCCATTAGCGGAAGAGATCGCCCCGACCACTTCTCAACTCGAAACATTGCTTGTCACAAAGACCACGTAGGGGAAATGGGGAAATATTTCAACTGCCTTTGTTCTATTTTGCATCCGCTTTAGGCATTCTTCGGTTCTGGTTCTCCTACGGGCTGCGAGTAGGTACCCTAAGCAGGATTTTTTTTATTTTTTTTATTTCTGTGTGTGTGTGTGTGCGTGAGGGGGCTAGTTTGAACAAAGGACTCACAAACCTACATTCTGCTTCCTCAAACTTCGTCCTGAATGGCCTTTGTCACGCACTGTGCCTCCCTGGGGCTTCCCACTCCCAATCCCAGCTCAAAAAAAAAAAAAAACAAAAAAAAAAACGGACATTCTACAGAAACGGTACGTAGAAAGAGTTTGACCTCGTTTCCTACAGCTCCGCCAAAATCTCTTTTTCCGTCCGAAAAAAAAAAGCAAATTTTATTTTTGTTATTTTATTAAAAAAAGCCGTGTGCCGGGGGGTTCTCGGACATTTAATCGAACGCCGTTTCGTCGAACACCGTTTCATCGAAAAAATGGACGTTTCATCGAACGCCGTTTCATCGAAAGCCGTTTATCGATTCGCTGACGGCCGTTTCATCGAATGTCTTTTATATAAAAAATGTGAAAGATGCTCTTTTATGCATGGATCGAGTGCATTTTCGTGTCATTCTCCCATTTCATCTTTAGGTTTTTTGATGTCTAAACGTGTAGCTGTTGCAATTTATTTTGATGCAAGTAACCCATGAGGATATTTGTACCGATTTTTATGTTTGTTTCGCATATTATGCTTATCTGTTCACCCCTTCTGTATTACTCGATGAGCCTTGAGGGTGTTGTAACAAAGGGTAAAAAGTCGCACTCCCGGTAAGAGCGCACTCCAACTCATGGAGGCCAGAAGGCGACTTTGGTTTTGTGCAGGCGCAACAACTTAAGCCATGTGAGCCTCCTAGCCTCTCATGTCTTGCTATTGATACTTTTTTACTGCCCGAAGCTTGCAGTAGCTAAAGCTGAGGTGCTATTTATGAAACTACAACGAAACATTTTTTTTTTAGTTTTAAGATTCAATGAAGTCAAAAATAAGTACGTCACTTCAAATTTTATTTTAAAACTTTAAGGGGGTCATGTGTTCGTGCGACAGCCATTCACCGTTTCAAATGATGAGCAATTGCTCTCAAAAAGTCCCCCACAGCCATGCTCCGTCGGTTCTCATAAAAAAGGCGGACCTTCTCATTTCTTGCCGCTATGGCATTCTTCTGGCGAGGAGGCTCTTAGGAACTCAGCATCGCCTCCAGCTTGTCTTCCGTCAGTTGATGCTCTGCAGCGATGCAAGTCAAAAACTTCCAGAACCCGAGATGGGCACCTCCGACCAGCTTCAGGAATCGGGAATGCCATTCTGGCGTTAGATAAGACGGCGTTCGATAAAACGGCATTCGATGAAACGGCTTCGATGAAACGGTGTTCGATGAAACGGTGTTCGATGAAACGGCATTCGATGAAACGGCTTTGATGAAACGGCGTTCGACGAAACGGCGTTCAATGAAATGTCCGGTCCCAGTGCCGGGGGGGGGGGGGGGGGGGGGGTTCCCGTGGACAAATTGTAACGGTTACAAGTAATTTTATTACTTCAAAAAGTAATCAGATTACTTTTGTGATTACTGCCTAATAGAAGTAATCAACTGATTACAAAATTACTTCAAAAAGTAATCGATTACAAGTAATTTGATTACTTGTAATGCGTACGGTACAAGTCTGATACATACATACATACATATATACATATGCAAATAAACTACCGGCTGTAAAAGTGCGAGCGAAGAGAAAGTTCATCCTAACTGATGTGTTGCGCTATGATTAATTTTTAATTAAGTTTTTAGTACCCACAGTAAGTAGAACCTATTCGAATAGAGCATTATTTTTAAAACGAATGCTCTGTGTTCCTTTGCTGCCCTATCCATTCTTATTACAAAAGGTAATAAGTAATATGCTCCAGTATCAAGGAGGAAACTTTAGTCATTATCAAAGATGAAATCATTCAGGGATTCAAACACTTTTTCATTTTCAAGTAAGGTGCTAACAGATGTTGGCATCTGCTCCAAAAGGATCAGTGCTCGCTCTAAGCAAATGTTTTGCCTGCTACAGAACCTGGTACAAAAGGTTCTTGCCTTTATTGTGTTCCCCAGTGCGCGTTTTCGCGCCAATGAATATTAATGAGTACAACAGGCTGAAATACATCATACCGAAACCCTTGCATCTAAGCTGACGTCCGACCTTTACTACTCATGCATGTTACCCTGTTCGCCAACGTTACGCGAACTTGATTGCCAGATACGGCCTTAGGAAATCCCAGAACCCTTCAAAGTGGCAGTGTACGTTCCTCTATAACATTTAGTGCAAAATATCTGCTGGCGCTTTAAGGCTTGTGGGCATGGGGTTACTTTTGAAGTCCTTTCTACCGGCTTGCCCGAGGAAGCTGGGACGAAGAATCATGGCAACGAAACGTTGCCTCCCAAAAACAGTTACGTCTCTTAAGCCAATTTGGACTGGCACTCTGAGTCTGAGAATTCTTAAAGGTCTTTTCGTTTCCAACTTTTTATGCAAAATTTAAATATTCCTGCATTTCACTCCCTGTGCATGTAAGATAAGAGTGTCACCCACCCACTGTACCTTTAAGATAAACGGGAATCAACTTGCATGAACTGCTTCGATTGGGACTAGCTGCGCACTTGACATGGGGCAGTGTACGAGAAACCATCACCAGAGCTAGAGCATGAGCAGTTGGTGGGCATCAATAAATTAACATAAAACAACATAACCATTAAAAAGAATTAAAGGGGCACTGACATATCAAAATCATTTTTTTTTATTATCCGAAACGATTGAAAACGATGCCGGGACATTACCCTCAAAATTTGAAATTTGGGAATTCAGTATTTGTGAAGTAAAAAAACAATTTCCAAATGCCGAATTCGAAGTTCCCGCGCGGTCGGCGCCGGTGCCTTGACGTCAAAAATCGCGGAGACCTGAGAGTCGACTTTCTTTCACCACTCCCTGCTGTTGCCATGGCGACCCAAAGCGAGGAGGAAAGGAGTGAGCGGCGGCGTTACGGCGGACCGGTTTTGAGCGGTGTCGCCTGTTTTCCGTTGGAGGATACAAAGCCAGGAGACGGCACCACAACGAACTCCCGATTTTAGGTATTTCAAGAAGGAGGGCCGTGGTGCGTTCGCAATTGCGTTAAAAAACATGTTTTACGATTGCCGTTATTAAATGTTATAGAGATGTCGCCTACAAAGCTTCTAAATTTCCTGATTTTTGACGTCACCGATCAAAAGAAGCAAGGAGGCGAGAGGCGGGAAAATCAAACGCCAAAAATAAAAAGGCGCGCGCGCGCGCGGGAAAATTTTTTTTCGCAATGCGGTTTTTTTTGCGTGGTTATGACTGCAACTTGCATCGTTTTAGACAATAAAAATAAATACGACCTTTGGGGTGTCAGTGCCCCTTTAAGCATGAGCTACAAAACGTTTAAAGAGTGGAGTCACGTGCTCATTCGTTTCTTTGTTTGGCAGGATCTCATGATAGCGCGGCAGAAAGCATTATGAACGTTTTGCAGAAGCTGTGCATGGGCGCCGCCATAACCGACCTTCAGTTCTTGTTTCCCCTTGTTACGTTCACATTACTTCATCACTACCACAGCAGGACATGCTCTTGCAATGTTATGGCGAATTCCACTGGGCGTTTTGGAGCGCGCCGGGTTCAGTTGACCAGATCCGGACTGGAGCACACGATCCGAACGGGATCGCACCGCCTACGGATCTCCAGTGGAACATGACCACTGCTCCGAAATTGGCGGATGCCTTCCCATCATTCAACTGGCCGGGGATCCCCTTTCTGAAGCCGCCGCGGTCGTTTCGAAGACGTTTCCGCAATCGCGGCGCTAACACGTGTTTGACGCACGAGCGGCAGGAATGGCTCATGCGCTTGTAGCAAAGATGGCCGGAATACCCGTAGCGCGGCAAATACCTTCTCTTCTCCTTCCTGGAAAACGAACCGGCTGTCGAACCAAGAGGTGAGCAAGCGGCCATTACGAACTCTTCCGATGTTGAGACAATCTAGGAGCCCGCGACGTGCTTCTTCTTCTTCTGAGGCGAGATGGGCGAGATCAGACGAGATGCCCCACGAGAAAGGAAGTCACGTGTGTGCGCCGAGGGCTGGCCCGGCTGGCTTCCGGTTGAATCCCCCGAAATCGTTGGAGCGACTTTTTTTGGATCCAGATCGAGATCTGGAGCGGGAGCTAATCCAAAACGACCAGTGAAACACGTCGGTCTCGATCCCGATCGCCCAGAGAAATAGGCTCGCCCCAGAAACGTCGATCCCGGCGCTCTCCAAAACGACCAGTGGAATTCGCCATTAGATTCTACCGCGTCCTTTCCAGCATAGCCCTTTGTGGAGGCTCGCCTACGCCCGCTTCAGTGGCTCGGCATCTCGGTAAGAAGAGAGGGTCAGCATTGGCGGGTATAATCTGTCGCGTGTGCAAAGCGTGTATACTTGCAAAAGGTAGGATGAGAAAATTGTATCCATGAAGAACGAAAACTGCTTGAGGCGACTCAGTCGAGCCGGCTGTTCTCAGGCTTGACAGGTGCTGGCTGGAAGCTGTCTGAGACCCGCGTTTTTCTTGTCGCAGGAGGATGACTCCGGCCCTGATCATCCGGGTACAAGGTCTCCAGCCCAAGGGACTTTACAAAGTGTTCCTCCTCTTTGTGCCGATGGGCTTGATGATCCGTGGTTCTGACGGCGACTGGACCTCCATCAACGCGCCCACGAAACATCCCATGAAGGGTAAGAGCCGCGCTCTTTATCATGCTCATTTTCCAGAAATGCCGACTTAGCGCCAACACCACTTTTTTTGGTCGTGCTTCAGATACCCTGTGCAACATACCTTTTTATACCATAAAAGGTGTGACTCTGCTTGTCCCAGTGTTTTTACCCTATGCGAATAACAGCAGGTGATAGCAGCACTCTTAGGGTGGTCGTTAGCACGCTAAAATTAAACGATGGCAATCTTGGCAACATTAAGTATATATATTAGTACCAACAAGTTAGAACTAACAAAGGTGACCGGCAGTTCTCACATGCACAAAAAATTTAAATGCAGACACCATGAATCACGAGGCTCGCAAGAGAAATTACGTGCCTGTGGACTGCTCCACGCCTTCTATAATCGACAATTCAAAGACACTCAATCACAGATGACGTTCTCCGTATTACGAAAGGTTCAGATATTTCGCTTTGTTCTCGTAGATATTTCACGTAAAACAAACATGGTTTTACTGAAAAACTTGTTAAGTACCATCAAAAACCACTAAATGAACTCTTTTTAGGGATATATATATAACAAAAAACAATCCTACGGCGTTCTAAAAAGATAAAAACGCTCAATTTAACTGCGTTTTTAGGATTCGATTTCTTGTCGAAGCGCATTTTTGCGCGCGCGGTCCTGCTCTCTGGTGGTCGCGGCGCGAAGCCATCGCCTCGCCTCCTCCCTCGTAAGATGGAGGGAAGTATGGCGCACTTGTCTTGCACGTTTTCGCCACTGGGGAGCAGGACCGCTGGCACAGAGATGCGCTCCGGTAAGGAATCGAAACCTAGAAACGCGTCCAGATTTTGCGTTTTTACGGAGCACCGTAAAATGTTGCCCCTACCTTCTACGCAGGATTCTCTGTTTTCGGAGTTTATTTTTGAGGAAACTTGGAGGGTGTTTTTCGGAGTTCATTTTTTTCCCCGAAATTGAGAGGTTTTTGGAGTATTCGTTTATGACACTCGAAATCCGGAGCTTTTATGGGTGTTTAGCATTTCATGGCGTTCAACTTCAATTAGGGTAATGTTTGAAAGCAGCAATAAAGGACAGTGTAACTGCAGACACAATTTTATTCAGTCCGTATTTAGAAAATTGTGGCCAAAACGAATGCTCGGTAAAGCTTGTGTTTCACAAAATTCCATACGGACATGATATCTACCATATAAAGTAACTAAAGAGCTACACTAGGTGTTTGAGATTAAAACCAAAGGCACGAGGTGTGCAAGTGACACATCCATAACCTTATCGGCAAAAGAATATAAATTTCTTGATAGAGGGCTCCACAAGTTGCAGTCATGATTTATGTTTTTCAGGACTATATAAGGGTTCGGTTTTTCAATAAATGTTAGTTTCGAGTGCGCCAGTGTTTAAGTCAACTTCTTGTCTCTGTCTATATTTTTCGGCGTTTGTGTACGATTATGAACCAACTTTCCCAAATTGACACATTAATGCAACTGTCTGAATTTCTGTCGTCAACGAGGATGACAGTGGAACGTGTGGAGAGCTTCAGTCTGCAACAAAAGGGGGTCACAGGAGGGCGAGTAAAGGTCTTATGGTGAATTCCACAGGTAGATCCGGAGCGCTTTCCAAAATCCGCGAGTTAGGCAAATTTCCGCTCCGTGGCACTCGCTCCAAATCGACGAGCGGGAAGATGAACTCGCATTTTTGGAGCGACCCGACGGACCCTGTCGAGACGGTCGACTGTTCAAAATGGTCGCTGCTCGAACTTGACAAGCCGTGGAACGCTCGCAGAAATAACGCGCGACCCAGGCCTGGCGAAAATATCCGTATCACGGAGCCCATGTTACAAATAATGAGGAAGACGTCCACGTTCGCCACCGTTACGGCTGCCCCGAAGCAGCTTAGTACGCATAGCGATCGCCATCAGAGGAGTACAGAGTGCTGGTAAGACTTTAATAAACATAAACAGGTAAGAAACCATTACCTCCACGGTCGTTGCCTAATACGGCGACAAAAAAAAGAAAAACAGGTTTAATTTTGGGTTTGCTTTTTTTGGATTTTCTGTCGTTCTTTTTCTCGTTCTTCCTCTCACGATTTGCCACGCTCCACAGACGCGGCTTTGTATCCCTGATCTCCGCGAGGTAGAAGCGTTCGAGCCGTCACAATCCCGCGTAAACAACTGACGCATCTGAACAGATCCAACTCGAAGCGACATAGAGTAATATACACAAGGTAAAGAGCGGACACTGCCATAGGCCCCAGCGGCCCAGATAGACCAGTGACAGGTAGCGCTCCTTGCGGGCGGTATTAAGTGTAATCTGATTCCGTTTCCGGTCAAGTTAGTTTCGGTTTGGGCGTTTCTGCCCCGGTTCTCCGATACCCTTCTCTCTCTCTTTCCTCCCCGCCTCGCTCGGCTCTCGGGAGCTCCTTGACTCCCGAAGCCGCTGTTTTTTTTTTGTTTTTTTTTAATACTGACGCACTTTTGCTTTATTTTTTTACGATAGAGTCCGTGCAAAATGTATCAAACAATATTTCAACTTACTTCACAAAGCATAAGTATATATATTTCTTGTTCTTTTTCTATTGTAAAGCATTGAAGTTACACAATCGCCGCATTGACTCCTTGCTGGTGGAGCATTTTGGGGTCAACAACAGTAAGTGGTTCGAACACATTTTATTGGACCACATTCATGTATACATGATTTACTTCAGAAGCTCTGTATGTTTTATACGAAAGAGATAGATACTCACAAAAATAAATGAATATGAAGGACTTCGGCATATCGTACACTTCGTAATAGATTCTTAACGAAACCAAGTTAACAAAACCTTTCCACGGAGAACATGCTGTATGATACATATCTTTTCACGCCGACTCGGGTACGGGAAGTAAGTGCAAAAATAAATAAGACATCACTATCATTACCAGTCATAAGAGTATAATAACAGTGCGAAGCACACGCCGGATAGTACAAATTCCCGATCTCCGGCAAATATAAAAAAACACCAATTTGCATAGCCTCAAGCCATTACCAAACAAAGAGAACTCTATTCGAAATCTGACAAGATTCAACGTCCCTAAACATTCCCCGAAATTGTTCAGAAAAGAAATATGGCTTCAGAAAAAAGCGGCTAAAAGACTATGGACAGTGGATACAAAAGTGGATACATTTTCTTTCAAATATTTTTAGCCTCTATACACTATTTTCTACCACAATTTTGTAGAAAGTGGACAAATATTTTTGTTAGGGAGCCGTGATACGCATTCGCTGGAAAAAGGGGAAACAAATATTTGGAGAGCAAGCTGCACCGCCCACTTAAGCACTTTTTGTTTTTGGTTTGGCAACCGCCTCTGTTAATACACTGTTAACAGTTAAACCTGTCTCGTTCTTATTAACCACTGAAGAGTGCAACCGAACTTTGTCCAAATTCCGGTTAAGAAATCAAACATGTCAACACAAGCGTATTCTGCAAAACAACTTTAAAAACCCTTTGTGGTACTCCTCTGGGCAAAGGCTAAAACCACCCAGACCTCAAAGTGTGCTATACAAGGCGGCACAGACTCTTCAAACATGTGTCACACTCTCTGTTATAGGAAGAAAGTCATTTTCTAGTTGCTGAATAAAATGAAAGGCAGCCTGTGATGGTACTACTAAGTTCCCGAAGAATTTTCCAGGCACGTGGTATGCTTTAGGAACAAGACAGTACTGGTGAGGCCTGGTCAAGTTATTAGACTCATCCGATAGCAGTTGAGAACAGCCACAGCTGTAAGTTGTCTGCTTAAGCAAAAGCTTGATCAAATAGCCCCAAACGTAATAAAAAAAGTGGACGAGTCATCAATTATGTTAGACCTGATGTCTGATGCCAGCTCAGAAATATCCTCTAGTGGCGGGAAGTTATCAATTGGAAGACATTCCACAATGTCAGAAATTAAACTTTCATGGTGCAAAGATATTTGCAACTCCTTTAGGAGGTCAGCCTTGTCATCCTCTACGTTTCCATTGTCCGACAGTTTGAACAGTTTCTTTATCCAGAGGTGTTTTAGTCCTGAGGTGAACTGATCCACATTTGGGTTTGTGTTGCAGCCCAGCATTTGTCGTATATAGCTCCAAAAACGTTCTCAAGTGTGTCTTGCTGCAGGCGTCGTGTAAGTAAGAACTTCAAGTCATGGCTGCTTGAAAGCTCATCACAGAGCATGAGGAAACTTTTTATAGTAACTTGCCACCCAATTATGGCTTATGGCTGCCTCCTACTTTGGAACTGCCATGCTGAAATCCATCCGAGTTACTGGTGGAAAAAATCAAGTGTTTCAGATTCTCCCTTCAGATTGGCATGACGCAACTTCTGCCCTGTCTTCTTAAATTTTTTAGCTATTTAGACAGTCAAAAGGTATGCACATCCTATCACAGAAAAAGGCTGTAGCCATGGCTGCCCCAGGAAGTTCCTTGGCATAAACAAGGGATATGATTGCAAGAAAGAGTAGACCTGTGGGGCACAATTTTCTTCCATGTTACAGAAAGGTTCTTGAAAAAATGTTTCTCTCAGTAAGTTTCGGAGCCAATTGCAAGCTCATCTCATGGATAGAACAATAAAGTTCAACAAAGAAGACCACTCAATGACCTCATTTCGAATGCAAAGTTTGTGTGCTTGGAGATTGCTCTTGGTTGTTTTGGGAAGGTGTGGAACATCAAAGACAAAGTAAACGTGTTCGTTGTGAACTTCAAGAAATGGTTTGTTACCACACACACCAAGCTGATGTTTGAAGCCCCCTAACCACAGACCACAGCCTTTACTGTAAAGCCAACAGACTTAAAGGGGCGATGCACTGATATTTTTATTTTGCGCAAATACCGCTTAGAACGAACCCCTGACGTTAATGATCTGTGAAATACCCGTTCGTTTTCACCACACGCAATCGAAGTCGCAGAAAAAAATAAAGAAAAACGAGCAGAGTTCACCCCTCAACTCGAAGCCATAACAAGCGGCCCCGTGATCTGGAGCCGATTATATGCCGCCAATGTTGATCATAGCCATGCGCTGGGGTTGGCAAGGCACAGGACACGCGCTGAGTTCAAGACATTATTATGGTTCGGCTGTTGTCGTCATTGCAGCGATTGGACACAGGACACTACCCGAATGTTTCTCGAGCTATCGATTATCACGAGTCCAAATCGAGTGTCCACGCCATGCTCGGGTCCAATCTATGAGCCGTATTCAAGTATCGTCACTGGGCGGTACTGCTACCGCCCAGCTACGTCATCAGGTTTTTCGAAGGAGAGATTGAATGAAAACACTCGGTTTTGTCCTCGAACTTGCAGCGCAACAAAGGAGTTTCTTGGTCAGTGGCGTTGCGTGCGAATATCCTTGAGTCCCACTAGTGCCAGTAAGCTTGTGTAAAGTGAAGACCATTCCCATTGAATATCGTTGCACCGCCCCTTTAAGCTCCCGAATGAAAGAAATGAGGAGACTGCGTTAAACAGAAGACGTTGTTGGGGTGTGCACAACAGTGTATGCAAGGGGCTAAACGCACCTCCTGGAAATTTCAGACAGTATAACAACCAAAGGCTCTATCTGCAATGTTAGGGGTTCGTTCAACACCGTCATCTGTAAACCCATGGACAATGTCGTGTGCTGGGTCGTAAGTTAAATTCTTTTTTTAAAACAATCTCATCGGAAATCAACATGCACACAGGTTCAAGTGCAGCCAGACAGCCCGGCAGAAAGAACAGCGCGAGAAGCTCGAACCGATCGGCTGCACGAATTCACGCCGAGCATGCCAGCACGCGGGCGGTCATGCGTCACCTTGATTGATGCAAAGTCGCCGAACATGATGCAGCAGAAAGCACAGATGGACGGCACGCACGGCACAGACGAACGACGCAGGGACGAGCAAAGGCCATGCAGAATGATGCAGAAGCGACGGCGTGCAGGCAGGCAGGCCATGGCAGGCGCCATTCATCACGTGCTTTTTGTGACGTATTTGATTTAAACTATTTAGCCGTTGAAAGTACTTTAGACAATTTTAAAGCATTGCCAATTAAAAAATAAATACTTTTCACAGAAAGAGTTTTAATTAATTTTAACCAAATTGCAGAAAAGCGCCACGTAGCGGAGGGTATGAAACGCACTATCTGGGCCGCGAATCGGCTCCTGTGTCCTCTCTTTACGTTTACTATATTACTCTATGGAAGCGAGGCCGGTCCGGCGACCTCGCCGCGCATGCGCACCGCCGAGTTATAGGAAATGACGAAGCGCGCTTCTCTCAACTTCCGCCAAACTCCCTGAAATCCCACGGCAAAAGTGTCGGCGGGGTTGGAGGCGCTCCCAGGGGCGGGCGCTGCCACGAATCTACGAGTGGAAGATGATCAACTTGAGCCGGATCTGCCAGCGAAGATGCTCGCTCCAAAAGAGGCGCTTTTGGAGCGCTCGAAGTCTGCGAGCGCGGAATGAATAGAAAAAAAGGTAGCCGCGAGGAAGGCCCCCTTCCTTCTGGCTACGTATTCGACTTTAGTTGGGCCATTGTCGTGAAGAGGATACCTGACTTTTCTGAATAAGGGTTCAGAGGACATGCCTTTTTAAGCCTTTGGAAAGTGCAAAGTGAAACGAACGAACTTGGAAACAATAAAAAGTGAACAAAGAAAGTGTATTTTAATCCCAGAAACTTTTTTTTTTCAGAAATTATTTTTTTGGTTTTGGTGTTTTTTTCGGATAAATCCGAATTCGAAGTATATTTACCGGCGAGCGTTCTTCGGATTTTATCGGATTTATCCGTAAACGCACTACCCTACTTATATATTCCTAAAAAGGCTTGATCAAGTGGTTATCAATTATGCTTAGCAAGGTTCTCAGTGGAACCATCTGTTTATTTCACTAATCTAAAATTGATAAGTAAATTTTAGTTAATTATCTTGTTAATTAGTATGTTTTGCAATCCTTGACGTCCGCCAAGGCTGGATGTATGTTCCCGCAAAGAAATTTCTTTTATCTCAAACAGCATATGCATGTTGAGGGTTTTTTGAAAACTCTCTCAGAAACACCCCTATATCTCCATGTAAAACGCAATGGTGCAGGCAAAAGCTCTACGTAGTCGCTGAAACAACCCAGATTACAGTTCTTTTGTGCGGGTGCCATTGCGGCGATTGCACTTCGAGAACGGTCTTTGCAGCATTGATTCCTTAAAAGGCACCTTCTGCCCACACCCTTTTTCTGCACTTCAAATATGAGTTTGTTTTTGTTACGCTACAGTGCACTGTGGTAGGATTAGAAAGGTTGTATTATTCAAAATAAGGGCTGTATCCGTAGGTGCAAGTCCTAAAACTCGTTTTACAACCGTAAGGAATAAAATTCCTTTATGTGCGTGTTTGTGTGTGTGTATGTGGGGAGGGTTATGGCTAAACCCCCCTTCCCCTCCCCCCGAGAGGACTGAGCGAGTTGTATTAAAACATTGGCAAGGTTAAGCAACACTGAAATAAGAAACACCACAACGAACAAACGAGATGTGTTGATTTGTCCACTCTTGCGTTTATGCAATTTGTGTTATTTCAAGAACGCTCCCCTGTAAGAGAAATTTCGAAATCAGAAATTCTTTTTATTTTTCAGCTTCTACCTACGCTCACCCTCGTGGGACGATGGCTGGTCGAGACTGGATGTCCGATTTGATCGGATTCAATGACATCTTCCTGACCACCCACCCAGCTGCTGTTCGGCCCATGGTTATCTTCATTGAATACTTTTGTGTTCTACCATCACGTTGTCCCGTGTTGGCTGTCGACCGCACCATCCTAACTGTTTGTTCACTCTCATCAACTCTGGGTGTCCCAAAAGATCGGATTCACTAACATCTGTTGACCCCCAACCCAGCTGCTAGTCGGCCTACGGCTTTCGCAGGAAGACAAGGAAGGACAAGGAAAAGATGTACAGTCGTGGACGATATATAAAAGCCCAGGCTAGAGCGTGGCTTTGAAGGTCTTTAGGGCTATCGAACGGAAGAAACCTTAGCTATAATTGAGGCACGAGCGGTATTTCAGTGGCTCTTCGATTATTGTCGTTACTCGCTACTTGGTTGGCCTACGACGGCTGAGTCAACACTGATTTTGGCACCGTTTTAATGCGTTAGCATTGGAACGCTCGTTTCTACGAAAGCCCGGCGGTGCCTTTCATTTGTCAGTTGTCGCGTGCGACGCTCTCAGTGGTCCGAAGCGCTGACGTCATCACGCATCCACCTCTCCCCCTACCTCCGGCGCTGACAAACTGACAGACACTTCCGGGTATTCGTCAAAACGAGCCCTTTCGTTTTCGGCAAAGTCACGCGCACAGCTGGAGCGGAGTCAGAGAAGAAGAAACGTCTCGCAACACCTCCTAGAGAACAAAGCCGTAGTGCTGAATCAGACAGTGTTGTACACGTTCCTCAAAAAAAGGAACGAAAACTCGTTCCTCGTTCCTTCTGATTTTTGGAACGCGTTCCCGTTACAAGTTCCATCTGTGAAAAAGGAACTCGTTCCCGTTACAGTTTAAAAAATGGAACGTGTCGTTACATATACGTTACATTTGTGTTTTGATGATTACCAGATTTAATATAATCAAGCAGTTTTTTTATCTATCCCATTATTAGGCAGTATACAAGTTTGTATGTCGTGATGGAAAGGCACCAGGAGAAGAAAACAAGCGGAAGCAGGGTTTCATTTGTTGATATATTCAAGTTAAAAATTTCCCCTTTTAACCATATTCATGTTTGTAGTGGACGATTCAGGCGAGCCGACTGTACTTTTACCCCACATCGCACGAGCATTTTGCAACAACCTTAAACATTTCAATTTAACAAAGTCCCCCGTTAGAACTTAACAATAGTGGCGTCTCGATGTTGCTGTCCGCAAGACGAGCGAGGGAGAAAAAGTGTAGGGCTTTTGGAAGGTCAGTCTTGAAAACTAGAAATGCTTTTTTGTAAACGTTAAATTTGTTGTTCAGCTTAAAAATAAAAAAAAGGAAAAAAAGTAGTATCTTTTAAGTGAATAAGCTTGGGATACAAGGCTGCGTTCGATGTCTGCCAACCTCTGATTTTGTTGTAACTGCAGGTCTTGTTATGAAGTTCAGAAATGGCTGTAGTCGGCCTTAGATTTCTTAGTGTATGAGGATTCGCGGGACCAAAGAAAGGGGCTGAGTTTGAAACGACCCTCCTCTTTTGCCTTTTCCCACGACTAAAAGTTTTGCTTTGTGCACCGCAGTTTCGGGCACTCAAAAAAGAATCAACGCCCACCAGCTCTTCTGCACCCGAAAACTTTTAGCAAGCGAGGACAACAGAATATAATCCATAAGATTAGTTGCCAAAGAGTTGACGAGATCCTGCACTTCGTAAAGATATTGTTTTTGTACATTCAAACTTTCCCTGTTAGAAATAAAATAAAAATTACCCCACTGGACGAAAAAATTAGGAACGCCGTTACTCTTTCCGTTCCAGTAAAAATGTAACGCGTTCCCGTTCCAGTTCCAGAGATACAAAATGGAACGGCGGCGTTCCTTCGTTCCTCCTAAAAAGAACGCGTTCCAGGAACGCCGTTCCTTGGAACGCCGTTCCGTACAACACTGAAATCAGATAGCTTAATCAGAGAAGCCCAGCGCTGAATACAGAATTGAAACGAGTACGCACTACGTCAGCGCTCGTTTGAGTCAAAGATTGACGCAATCGTCGTGTCCAACCTGTGCCCAGTGTTAGCATTCTCTGTTGACGGCTTCTGATTCAGCACTACGACTTTGTTATCTAGCAGGTGTTGCACCGCGGCGCGGTGGAAGGTGGGCGTGCTCAGTTGCCGCTCTGTTGTCGACGGTTGTTGTTGGCTCTGGGTTTCCGTAGTATCAGTGCGTGGGCTTTGATGTCTATGTGTAGTTAAAACGATGCATTCGGTTCGTTCCACGAGTGGTATGGATGTGGTCCTTTCCCCTAGTGAAATGGATAACCATATCCAGGGGCGTGTACGTACTCTGACAGGCAGAGGAAAGAAAAGGGGTGAAAAAAGTTACAGGAAGATTCATTGGTGGATTCTTGGAGAATCCGTTAGCATGACCCTTGGAAAACGCTAAAACTGACCCCTTAACGTGACCAAAAAAGGCAATAAAAAATGGAGAACGCAAAAAGGAAAGCAAAAAGAAAAAAGGAAGGGGTCAGCGTTCGCATTTCCCAAAGTGGGACGTGTGCGGCGTTTCCAAGGGTCATGCTAACACATTCCCTAAGAATCCAACCATGGATCTTCCTGTAATGCTTTGGGATCAGGCTTGCGTCGTTCCAATAAAAAAAACCGGGCTTTGACGAAAAGTAATGCTCCATGAAATAGAGTAAAAGACCGCTTATCATCTTTTATCCAGCGAAGTTATTATCAAACACCCGTAAACTGATCGCTCAGCTTGCCGACCTGGTGGTTTCAGCAGCGCTTGATTTTTCCTTCCCTCGTGGAAGGCCTCTACATTCGGCACTGAAATCAGCATTATCACAGCACCAGCCGGGCAAGAAAGGGAACGACATTAAAAACCGAACAGACCCTGAAGCCTCGATCATGGTAGAACTTTCTTCTCGTAGATGGCGCGGCAGGCTTTTCAAGTCAAGCGCCCGCCTGGGATTTTTCCTAATATCCGCGACTGCACACACACAAGGCGCCGACTGTCAATTGAATGCGAACGTTCATCCCTTCACTTTTCGTGTTTTTCTTGTGTTTCTGTATGCGAGTGCGTACTTCTGTATCCTTCTGTTCATCGGTCAGGCCGGCCATTGCCGCTGGGGTAGACGATGTGATGAAGCTGATAAACGTAGCATTGTGAGCAGGGCACTCAGCGGCTTGGTTTTCTTCTTCCGCACCATGGGAATATGATTGTCACAGGTACACGTGACCCTGTTCAGGCGGTACCAACTAGCCATCCAGTTTATCGGACCTGGCAATCCTGAGCTTCTGGTTCTCAGCCAGCTCCAGTTCGTGACCGTCAGTCGCAGCTCCTCTCGCCTGCAAGTGAAACTCAAGGCAGATGGATGGGGCAATTCAGCTTCGTACATGAAACGGATCCGTACAGAAAGGTAAGCACCCCTACATCTTCCGTTGCGAAGCATGGCGTGTAAGGCGCAAAAAACAACGAACACAACTTTCGTTGCTTCAGGAAGTGTCCTTGTTATAAAACTTTGGGACATGTCAAGCAGCCTTGTTCACGACCTTTTTTTTAAACCTTGAGCGTCTTGGTAACATTAAATTTGTTTGTAGACAGGCTAAGCTACGGAAAATGCTCTAGTCACCGAAACACTAATCTTGAGCGGCCGTAAGTGTATGCTGTGCTGGTAAATCTGAGACGCAATGGAAGCTGTCTGTTTCTTCTTTATTTTTCAAACAGCGGGATGCGTCAGAGGATCCATGGATCGCATTCGGAACAGTTGGGTAAGAGCCTGCAAACGGCGAGCTTCAATCCTTCTGAAGAAAAGTGCCCATATGCATTTGACTGCTCTTCCTGTGGACTCCCCGCGGATCCACAATCAGCATGCCTGCCACCGCAGGAAGCAGCTTCCTCTGATCAGTTTTCGCTACCCACAACCGCCCATAAAGACTTTTGGGGCTTCGCACTGCCAACCACCACAGGTTCCTGTGACACTACAGGTTCGCACAGTGTTGCCCTCCACACGTCATCAAGCCTTGAAAGCGGTCCGCCAGTTACTCGCAGTGAATCGGCTGCTCAAGCGTCGCCATGTCTTCGCGACTGCTCCCAGCCCTGCAACCCTGAACAGCCAATCGAGGTTTCAGAAAGGTACCAGAACTTTCCGCCAGTCCCCTGTGACGATCCGCAGAGTGGTCTGCTTCTGGAGGACATTAAGCAGCGTGGAGAGCAACGTCTCTACAAACCCTGTGCTGATTTAAACGCGGGTATCTCATCTCAGCTGCTCGAAGCTCGCAAGAAAACCGAGCAACCAACGTGCCCACGCGCCGAAGCATTCTGGACTCGGTTTTGTGCAGTCTGCTTGGACTTGTCTACTGACTCAGTTGCAGACATCGTTGCGAATGAGAACACACAGAGTGCGGAGTTTCAATCATGGATCGACGTGTTAGCAAGTGACATCGAGTGCAATGGTTCGACATCGGTCACCACAGTTGGAGAAAAGCTCCTGGAGGTTCTGGTGTATCGGTTCTTCTCGCTGAGGCTAGGGCGCTTTCCCACGGCGTCGCTGTCATGAAAATCGTACGCCTAGACTTTGTTTCAGCCCCGCTCATTCTCGAAGCATTTGTTTCCTGCTCTACTTTGGTGAAGTCTGTAACACCGAGCCTTTTATTCAGCGTGTACACTAACGCCTCGAAACCTTTTTAAACAGTCCACAAAATTCTTCTTCTCGACGTGTCATTCCATGATTCACAACAAAGGTTTGGCTAGGTGGCGGAACTATTGAGTGAAAATATCAACAAATGCTCTTACCGCGTTCAAAATAAAAAAAAAAAAAAAAATAATAAAAAGTCTCTTTCTGTCGATTTCCGAGGGCATTTGCCGGCGATCCCATAACGGTGCTCGCCGAGTTGGAAGTACTGCCGACGGAGGGGAGGCCCCAGCAAAATGAAAGATTTGGGAGGGGGGGGGGGGGGGGGGGGGGGCGTGCCCCCCGTCCCCTCCCTTGGCTACCTGCCTGATCCTGGGTTCAGTCCCCACCCCCTGCCCGTTTCGATATGGATGAGCACCGTACCGGCATGCGGTCGTGTATCACTGCTGCGTGGTGCACGTTAAAAACCCTAGGCTAGCGGTTGTATTAGAACGGCGAGTTGGGCTAGTTGGGCTAGTTGGTTGTACATGCTTGAAGTGAGGCGCCAAAACAACAAGGACAGATGCAGACAGGACGAGGCGCCTCGTCCTGTCTGCATCTCTCCTTGTGTCCTCGTTGTTTTGGCGCCTCACTTCTGGCGCGTTCACACTAAAAGCGGATCCGCGTTCGCGAAGCGGATCCGCGCATTCTCAACCGCAAAGCGGCTAGGATCGAGCGGTTGGAGCGCGTTTTTGCCAACCGCTTCGGGACCGATTTCTCCCAACCGCTTTCACGAACCGCAAAGCGGCAACCAATCACAGCGCGACGCTGACGTGACGTCAGTGACTTTCGAAACAAGATGGCACCTGTCGCTGGTGAGGCGTCCAAGGCGCTGTAGTCCTAGCGCTGTAGTCTTAGCTTTCGACAAATCAACGGAGAAACTTCATGTTCACGTCCGTCACTGGAATCCGCCACGAATAGAATTGACTCGTAATTTTAACGGGCTTCGCACAGGTGATTTGGTTCGGGTAAGAGTTTGTTTATTATTCCGGGTGCCACAGCCCAAGCTCGCTGCCTTGTTAATTTCTGCCTGTAGAACGTCGGAACCCGCCCCTGATCGACCGAAATGTCAGCTTTTCTACCCACTAGGATAGTCGCGTGAACTATTTAAAGCTTTCGACACCGTGCATGACCACCAGGAAGGACGATAGAGACGTCGTGATCTTGATTGCGTAGCCAACGCACTACCGCGGAGGGGGCAGGGTACCTGCGCTAGCTCGACCTGTAACGTTTACTACTAATAAAATAAATAAAGGGAACCTACTCAAAGAATAAAGTGTACGTACCAGACAATGCAGAGGTAATCCATATGGCGTTTATTTGAGCTTAATGCCAAACAAACAGTAGACTCGATCGACGAGCGAGTGACGAGAGGAGAGTCCGCCACCAACGAAGCAACGACCGGCTAGCACCGAACACATTCCCCCGCACCACGGTCCACCCCACCGCTCACAACTTCGAAAATGATAAGAGCGAACAACGAAGGGGGAAAACTGGCCCTCTATCCCGAGAACAACTTCAGCTATTCATTCGGGAAGGTCCACTTCGAAGAAAAGGTCGGGGGCATCCTGTTCTGAGTCAGCAAGGCGTGCCTAGCTGGGCTTTGCTTGTGTGCGAAGTCGAGGGAATCACAGGCGAGTTTGGCGGGTCCCTGCTTCTTTTTTTCCCTGCGTGAACTCGTGATGCGCGCGAACATCCCGGAGAAAAATATTCCGAGTGCCAAAATAGCAAAACGTTGGCTTTGGATCTTGACTTAAAGTGGATTTTGGATTGTAAAACAGGGTTGCCAAACGCAAGTCTCACAAGATCACGCGTGATCGCCGAGAAACCGCCAACCGCCTCTCGGTGTGTCTGAACGGGGTCGCTCGCGAACCGCATCCGCGACCGCTTCGCGAACGCGGATCCGCTTCCAGTGTGAATGCGCCATTCTAGCGGTTCTACTGCACTGGCTCAGTTGTTCATCTACAGCTGAGACACCAGACGCCCATCGGGGTTGACAAACTTCTAACTGTATAAACATACAGTCACAACAATTAGCTTTGAAAAATCAAAACATCTCAGCATTGGCTTCGCTGTGGTCAAACTTCGATGTGTTATCTTTTTTTCTAATTTTCTTTTTTTTTTTTTTCTTATGAAGACACTGAATTTAGGAGAAAAAAAATGTTTCTACGTGGCTATAGGACAGGCATGTCTGCCTGGACAGGATAGGCAAAAAACGCGCCGCCGTCGACCGTGGGGCGTTTTTTGTTTGCTAGACGCTTATGACAAACAGTTCAGCAAAACAAAAATTTTTAATTCTGTGCACCCCCTTTCCCCCAACTCCAAAACACTTCCAACAAACCTGGTTCAATTGTTCAAATAAATGGCGATGTGATTTGAACCCTTAAAGTTGCACTCGTGATCTTGGTTAAACGGGTAGCTTTATTGTTAGCAGCTCGCAAGAACGATTCAGAACGCTGAGGCCCATATGTATGCAGCAAGGACATCTACGCGCGACACACCTTCAAATCTTTGCCACGACGTCGATTCTTGATCAGTATCCAAGCGCGCGAATGCAAAGAGACGCAGAACTTCGGTGTGCCAAGGAAGCTTTGATCACGTCGCGGGACCGGCGAGACTTGCGTTTGACGAGTTGTGCCTTTTTCCTGCGGTGCTGCGCTTTCGTAAAACTTTCCACCAGTTCTCAAACACAATTATCACTGTTTACACAAGGTTAAAAAAAACAAAAGAAAACATTTGTCATAGAGATCAGTGTACGGACCACGTGCGGGAGCGAGATACGGGTTCGGGTAAGTACACAAAAACTGGATTGGATTGGATTGATATGTCTAAGGCGAAACGACTTTGTGTCATTGTTGCCAGCACGCCTCCCAACTTCTCCAAATAGTGAACATGTTTACGAAGTATGGCCATGAATGTTTACGAAACTAAATACCATGTACCTTTACTTCACCAATATAAAATAGCGCACTATAAAAACAGAGAATCATATATGTAAGAGTAGTGCTCTTTGTACACTGCGTAATGGAATTCCTCTCGCACACTCTTTTGCAATGCGGATGCTTTTCTGAGGTAGTGCTCCGCCCGTCAGCCTTCGGCCCCAAATACTCTGCAAGCAAATACCGGCAACTCCCGCGGAGAGCGGGCGAAAAGTGATCGCAGAGACCCTGGCGAGCTCGAAGTTTCCACTAGTAGACGAATTCTCTATAACGCATTGGTTTTACCTATCTCCGTACGAGGTGACCAATGAAAAACAAATTGTGACGGGTATTCGCTGCTATGAATGTTAAAAAATAAGTGCCACCTTTTGAGGGAAGGACATTTTCGTCGCGGGGGAAAGATTTTGCAGCTTTCAGGGTACGATTTTCGGGCTCTCCTGAAGAAAACACTCTGTCAAAACTTATCTAAGCCAGACAAAACACGAATGTACCTTTGGCGCAGTTTTTTGAAAAAGCGCAATGTACAAAAATTTTAGAACAAAGCTTCGTTTCAATTTTATTATTCGTATCAATCAATTCGGTTTGTAGCAATTCGCATTTCTCCTGAATGTCTTGCTTATAACCGTTTTGTCGAATAGGCGAGCTGGCTAATCCCGTTAAGATCGTCTAAGGATGAAGAAGCAAAAGGAGATTTCGAACCACGTACGTTACTGCAAGGTCAATATGTTCTGGAAGAAGTCGATTGTGCACATGTCAATCTGACGCTATACGTGAAATTAATAAAAACGGAGTTACAAAAACAAAAGCAGACTTTTTGCGTGTGAAAAAGAAAAAAGAGGAGAGCGTCGCAGTGCAAATAAAGGCGATTTCGGTCGCGTTATGTACGGTGCACCAATTCCGATTGTTAGTGCAGGTACAAATAACGTCTTCTGCGTCTTCTACGGTAACCTCCATTTTTCAAAGTCCACTTTCTTTTTATGTTTGAGGCTATGCTATGCCGGCGCGGACTCTCTTCC